TATATATATAAACTAATTAATTAATTAATAAAATATATAAAAATATAATTAAATTGATCAAAAGAGACAGTAGAGACATTTATAATGTTACAGAAATTTTCTGTTTCAAATAAATACTGTTCTTTTGAACTTTGTATTAATCAAAGATTCATCATTAATTCAGCACAACTTTTTTCAACATTAATAATAATAAAAAATGTTTCTTGTGCACCAAATCAGCATATTAGAACGATTTCTGAAGGGTCATGTGACACTGAAGACTGGAGTGATTCAGCTTTGCAATCACAAGAATAATTAAATTTTTGAACAAAAAAAAACATTATTTTAAATGGTAATATTATTTTACAATATTAATGTTTTTACTATATTTTGATCAAATAAATGCAGCCTTGGTGAGCACAAGAGACTTTTCTCAAAATCTAACCGACCCTAAACTCTTAAACGGTGGTGTATTTGGACCTACACAACTGTACACCTGTTTTGTTTATAGGACAATATTAAGGACTTCTGTGCTTTTTCTTCTTCTTTGGGATTTAAAATAAATCTTGAACCAAGTTCTAACTGTCATGTTCTTTCTCATCCTAGTGGAAACAGAGGAGAGTGTGGTCCAGCAATATCTGAATCCTGAGTGGAGACATGACCATTAAATGAAAGGAGCTGTGGCGGTCCCTTTTACCAAAAAGTTAGAAAATACTTCAACGCCCATAATACACTGGGCTCATTGCTGTCCAAGGCATCTGACGATTCAACTGTCCATATGCAGGAATACAAATATGCTAATAAATAAACCGGGAGATCTGGGTGCAGGTTACATGGGGAAAGAATACACATTGTTCATTTACGTATAATACTGAAAGTGTAACAATATAAATCTGATTGAAAATTTACCAACTTGTCCTTTAATCTCAGGGCTTTGTATGCAATGTTGCCTATATTGATTGAAAAGTTTTATTAGTTTTAAAGAAAGTGCATAAATGGAACACATGGTTGGTAAATCACTGATTACTGCCCTAAAATAAGTGCCTTGTTTTATAAAAATTACCAAAGAACAGAAATTATATTTTAATAATGCTTAATTGATGGTAAAGGTTTTGTTTGTGGTCCCACTGGATTGTCTGAAAATTGCAAATGGAGTTGGAGGTTTACATCAATGCATTGTCAAACACATCATTAAACAATTGTGTACTTCATTTCAAGGACTTTTGACTGAAGTAAATACATTATTGTAAAATGGAGGATGTTGAATCACAAATGAATGCAAAATTTGGAGACATGTTAATACTTCTATCAAGCCTGTCAACAAACTCATTACCGGTTTCTCACAGTCAGCAGACTTCAAAATTTAATACATGCCATGACACGTAATTTGAAAAGAAAAAGCATAATGTATATTTATTGACCATGAAACTATTTTGCATTATTTCTTTGCTAAGGAATTTAGTTTTTTTTTGCGCTTTGTATACAATCTTGTTGTCATCCAAAAGTAAAACATGAAAAAATAATATCAGGATTTTGTCCTGCATATTTTAGTTTTTGTAGTTTAATTAATGGAATGTGTCGCCACATTAAGTTATCATTACTTATATAAGGAAAAAAATCTATCATCTTCCGAGGATAAATGATAGTCATTGAACTAGACTGCATGTGTTTCATTGATATGATCTGCTCACTTTTAATAATGCTAAAAAAATAAACTGCATTATGTTGCCACTTACAAAGTTTAGATGAAAAGAAAACCTTCATAAAGGCAACATGTGACACCTAAGCTAATCCTCACTTGGTCTAGAATCATAATTTTGTTATGCAGACTTGGTTATGATGAGCTGCCTATTTCAGACTCTGCATCTGCAGTGCTGCTCTCTGATCTGGACGCTACAGTTGCGTTTATTCTAATAATTGTGAACCTTTTGTTTTAGGAATACTAGCACATTATACACTTCATAACACATTTTTCCTTACACGTATGGCAGGGATGGGTATATCGTGAAAGGATCCTGCAGGTTTAACCCTACATCGCTTAAGTTTCGTTTTGTCTGCTTTATAACTCTTCCGTAGAAACAATTGCGCCTGGTTCATATGAGAGAGTGTGATCGTAAACCGTTCATTTTGTTTCTAGTAACTGACCTAAGAGCTTCAAGTATCAAACGGTATGAACAGAAGAAACAGGAATAATTATCTCTCTATAGCCGCTGTGCGCACAATTGGACTGGACTTCATTGAGATGCTAGAGGAAACCAACAGGAGATCCATTACTGACAGAAACACACTCGGAGACATCTACAATGAAGAGTTTCGAGATGGGTAAAACGATAACCATGCACATCAGTGAACGTCTGTATTAATTTGAATTCAGTTAAATGAATAAGTGCGTCATCTATTGCACACTTGTATTCACGGACGGTGGTGTCAAAGATCCAAACCTCTCTAGAGTCATCTTTGCATTGAGAAATGGGAACAAAGCCCGTCTTTCCAGATCAGGAATGCATGTTTACTTTAACACCAGTGTAAGAAATCTTATTATATTTACTACTGGCTACCAGTTAGCCAGATGATTTATGCACATTTGATGTAATTATTTCGGATATATTTAATAGCAGTGTTGGGCTAGTTACTCAAAGAATGTAATATATTACTCATTACTAGTTGCTCATTTCAAAAGTAATATTGTTCCTTTACTTATTACTTTCTGGCAACAGTAATTAGTTACACTACTAGTTAAATTACTTTTCTTCACGCCCCACAGAAGTTGTAACTGTGTGTCTTCCACATAAAATTAGTGATTGATAGTGACATTCAAGTAGAAGTGTTGTATTAATCTCATTGTATTAATCTCATTAATCTTATTAATTTTCCAAAAAGATTTGTAATTATAGTAATATAATGTACCACATGCTGATCAGAGGGATGTGGGTGGGATGTAATGCCAGAGTAAAGTAAAGCCACAACTTGCACAACAGCGCTCAGATTATCTTTTTTTCCTGACAAAATCCATATAATACAATATTTATATCTGCTGAATGTAAGCTTTTCCATATTCCAAGCTTGCCTGCTGCACTGGGGACATCACATGCATGTGTGAGTCGTGAAAATTATGAAAATAAATCTAAGAATTATCTGATTGTTGGATTTTAAATCAGGGGGTTGAGGCATCAAAAGTAACTAAGTAACTAAGCTGTTTTATGGATGGTAACTGTAATATTATTACTGAAATCGTATTAGTAGCCTAATTAGTTACACTACTAGTTACTGCAAAAAGTACTACCACCACCACCAAGACCAAGGAGCTGATAATAGACTTCAAAAGGAAGAAAACAGACATTCAGCCTCTTTTCATCAGTGGCGACTGTGTGGAGAGGGTCTCGGACTTCCGGTTTCTGGGCATTCACATAGAGGACAATCTGACCTGGAGTGTCAACACCATTACTGTCATCAAGAAGGCACAGCAGAGACTACATTTCCTGAGAATACTCAGGAATTACCAGCTCACACAAAACCTGTTGGTGTCCTTTTACCGTTGCTCTGTGGAAAGCATTCTGACATACTGCATTTGTGTGTGGTTTTCTAGCTGCACTGCTGCTGAAAGGAAGGCTCTCCAGAGGATCATCACCACAGCCCAGAAGGTAATCGGTTGTCCCCTCCCCTCTATGGAAGAGTTACACAGTTCCCGCTGCCTCTTGAAAGCTCAAAAAATTCTCAAGGATCCATCTCACCCAGGACATTCTCTTTTTGAATTGCTACCTTCGGGCAGACGGTACAGGGTTCTAAAAACCCGAACAAACAGATTAAGGAATAGTTTTTATGCTAAAGCTATTTCTTTTTTAAATACTGCAAAAAAATTAAATTAACCATCATGTGTGTTGAAGACATGAAGTGTCCATCTCTGTTGATTGTAAGATTAATAGTTTACATGCCAAGCCATATCTGTTTTAAATACTGCAATAACTTAACTGATCATTATGTGCAACATTGAATGAGTCGTGCAGCTCTGTTGAATGTGAGATCAAACAGTTCACATGCTTAAACTATCTGGTTTTGAATACTGCAATAACTTAACTGAACATTTTGTGTACTGTTGAACTGAATGTGAGACGTCTTTTGTATGTAATGTTGTGTAATAGATCCTGTCATCTGTGTACTATTTATTAGATTATTGATTAATTCAATAATCCCTATGCACCCAAAGGATTGCATTCAATTTCGTTGTACCTGTACAATGACAATAAAGTCATTCATTCATTCATTCATTCATTCAAAAAGTTATATTATTACAGTAACTAAGTTACTATTTACTAGTTACTGCCCAACACTGTTTAAGAGTCACGTGAATACTCCTATCAGCAGGACATTTTGAAGGCTAAAATGTGGGTCATCTGATACTTTTGGCCAGGACAAACAGACTTTTACAAATATATTACTACAGCCACAAAAAAAGAAAAAACTGTTTCATGTTACCATTATTCTTGGCTACTTGTTAAGTTTACCTGTTACCTGTTACTGTTTCATGTATTGGTATTTTCTAGGGCTGTGAATCTTTGGGTAGACAGCGAATCGATTCGATTCACGATTCATAGGTTTTCGATTCGATTCAAGAACGATTTTTTTTTTTCAAATTCAGAACGATTCAATTCGATTCTATTCACAATTAAATTCGATTCGATAAATGATTCGATTCCGCATTCTTTAAGTGCATTCACAAGATTATTTGAATGCTTGCCCTAAATTCTTTAAATGCTTAGTCAGAGGGCAAATTACACAGCAGCCTTTATGGTTACAGAACCATAGGTTAGAGGAAAAAAAAAAACACTTTTGTGCATTGTTAGATGCTAGTTTAATGATGCAATGGCATGACATGGCATATGTAGAAATGTATGTAAGCCAAGATTTTAAAAAAGAGCTTTAAAAGTATTATGTATAGGCTAACATTTTGTCACACCAGGGGACATCATGAAGCCATCATTTCAGAAGTACAGAAATGTCAAATATAATAATTGTATGTATGTATGTATTATTTATTTATTTATTTAAAAGGAATTATTTTCTTATCTCTTACGTTGAATTTGCTATAAGAAATCAAATACACTTCTTGACAATAATCAATAATTTGCAATCTATAATTTTTTCCTAATGGCAATTTTGAGTGTTTTATACTAAAAACAATTATTTCAAATTTCTGCACAGAATAAGGTAGAAAATATACTTTATAGTTTCTGCACTGTAATAAATGATATGTCAATTAGTACGGCATCATTCATCAATTTTATTTATTTATTGTGTTTATTGTCTCAACGATTCATCAGTTCATTCTGCTTTTTATTCAGATTAGCTGCAGATATAGCCTGGCACATCTTAAATTCTATGAGCGTGAAATCACTTCTCTTTCAGTGCGAAAAATTCTTTATCTCATTGTCATAAAATAAAATGCTATATTATTTAACATTTCCTCTCCATCGGCGAATGATGATTCTGAAAGAAAACGCCAGAAGTCTGTTTGCTATAGCAAGGAACGCTACTTTCATGCATCTGATTATCAGATAAACCTCGCGCTCTTATTTCAAGGTTGTTAAAGTGAAGTGACGTGACATGCATTCGGTTCAATTACATTGTTAAGACACATTTATCATTCAATGGAACTGTGCGTATGCTTTAATAACTTACATTTTTGCTCCGTCCATGCAATAAATGCGCAGCCTTCGACTGCTCAGGTATGTCGTCGTTATGACCGAGAGCCATTGAAAAACTACAGAAAAGTAAAACTACTTAACTTTAGCATTACTGACCACGAGTACTAAGGAGAGATCACACATCTTGTGACAGTCACAGGCGGTAAATAGTGGAGCGCGTGAAGGAGAGATGCGAGGCACGAAAACTGTTCAAGGTCTCCATTAATTCGTGCTTGTAGTAATTTAATGTTTATATATTTTGAAAGCATTGAATCGCTACAGGATGTTTCAAAAAATAAATATGATTTTTGCATCCCCCTTTGTGTACATGTTTCATACTTCTGCATCTCTGCATGTTACGACTGTTATATGCGATTTAGAGTTATGAATGTTCAGCTCTGAATGATAAGAGAAATAATGAATGTTTCCTTTGATGTGTTTGATGGTTTTTAGGTCATTACTGCAGAGTCCGCTAGGCTTCCATAATTATGCAGAACGTTTTGATTTACTGCTGTATCTGGAGGAGTGTCAGATGCATGTGGATATCAAGAGATACAACAAAGATCAAGTCACCTTACTCAAAGACTATGACAAGAGACTAATGGTCTTAAACGTGAGTGGTACAGTTGCAAAGTCTCAAATCCAAAGAGATATTCTTTATCAAAGTTAAGAGTCAACCACGCCTACCTACTACCTAAAAATATATCCTGTTTCATCAGATTGTGAAACTACTCAGGGTTGTGAACAAGGTTTCTTGTTGACTTTAACATGCAAACTGATGTTGTCATGTAATTTAATGCAATGCTTCTCTGTTTACAGATCTTAAATATTCCACTGATTTCACTGCTGTGCTAGGTTGACTGAGGGTCTACTCTTTTAAAGGAATATTCCAGGTTAAATATATCTTCACCTCTATTAAAAAGGCACACATGCTGTCAAATTACAGCAGAATTACATTTCCTCTTTAAGCTTGTACACATGTACAGTAACGCACTTACAATGAAAGTCTAAAGGCATTTTTTGCAACATACAGTAAATGTTTAAAATATGAAACTGTCACTATGTTGTGAAAGTACAACTATAACACTTAAGTATTTAAATAGAAATATTTTAACCCTGTTATCCTTTAATAGACGTTTCAATTTAATACAGAATCTTTAATGCAAGCAACCCTAAACTAAAATACAATTATGTATGACTATTTAACTCTTTCATTGTGAATTATAATCTCATTAAATGTTTTTAATGCACATGGAAAATATCATCAAATCATCCCCATAGCTAAAACACAACTCTCTGCTGGGCAGTGCATCTTCAAGAATAAACCTCCATTTGCATTTGCTCCTTCCGTAAAAGACACTCATCCCTCCCCACTGGCTGCTCGTGGCAAACAAACACAAATGGAGCATTAATCAGAATTCTCTGCAGAGAGTATGATTGCGGCTGCCTCCATCTTTACTGATGAACAGGGAAAAGCAGAGTCCATGCTGATACAGAGGCTCCCAGACTGCACTGGCTTTTCCCAGCATCCACCACTGTTAGTTTTCACTCTGGACTTCCTGATGTGAGTAGACCTGACCTTATTCTGAAGACCTGAAGAAAGAGATATTTTTCTGTGAAATAAGGGAACGTTAAGGCAAGACACTTCAGGTCAGTAGGATAAAAGTAAGGATTAATAGGTGAGGACTAAAATAACAGATATCACCATATTACATCACTTGATTGAGGCACTACTTTTGCATTATCAATACATTAATATTTAGAAGAAAAAAATATATACTGTATATATATATATATACATTTGCCATTGAAATGGTTATTTTACGCAAAAATACAAATTTGATCATTGTTTGCTCACTTTCATGTTATTCGAAATCCATATGAGTTTATTTCGTGCGTGGATAAGGAGATATTTAGGAGATGTTATTTTCCACACAATGGACATGTATGTTAGAACCTATTCCATCTAAGCTACTAAAAGAGGTCCTTCCAGTAGTCATAGTTCCTCTTCTGAATATTAATTTGTCACTGTCATTAGGATATGTCCCAAAATCCATCAAACTTGCTGTTATTAATCCTCCCATTATAAAACACAACTTGATCCTAGAGAATTAGTAAATTACAGACCGATCTCAAATCTCCCTTTTCTGTTAAAAATATTAGAAAAGGCAGTGTCCTCTCAGCTACAGTATGTTCCTTCTTAGAGAGAAATGGTATCTGTGAGAATTTCCAGTCAGGATTTAGACCATATCATAGTACTGAGACTGCTCTTATCAGAGTTACAAATTACCTGCTCTTATCATCCGATCAAGGTTGTATTTCTCTATTACTGCTACTGGATGTTAGCGCTGTGTTTGACACTATAGACCACAAAATTCTTTTGAGCAGACTACACAAATTATGTTGGCATTAGTGGTATTGCATTGGCATGATTCAAATCTTACTTATCTGACCGTCATCAATTTGTAGCAGTGAATGAAGAGGTATCGTATTGATCACAAGTACAGTATGGAGTACCACAAGGCTCAGTACGAGGACCGCTGCTTTTCATGATTCACATATTACCCTTCGGAGATATCTTAAGGAAACATGGTTTTAGCTTTCACTGTTATGCTGTTTATACTCCGCATGTAATAACCTTGAACACTGTCTAAAGCTAAATGGCTGCTTTGTCAATTCTCCGTCATCAGCTCTATATTTCTTCGCGGCCCACCGAAGCATACCAGTTTGCCAAACTAACAGAATATATGGTAACACTTTATAATAACTTTCAATTATAAATCCTTAACTAACATTATGTAATGCTTAACAGATCATTAGTTAATATATATTCACAAAGCTAAAAATATGAGATAATGCTCTTGTTGATGTTTACTAATGAACTTACTAAACATTACCTAATGATTGACATATGATTATTTAATTCACATTGAAATGCTTACAAATGTCAGTAAACTTTCAGTTCATATGATCTTCATTTGTTGGTCTTTGTATGTTGTGTAGATCTCTATTTACACATCTTAACAAATTATCTGTTATTTTTTTGTTCACGTTTTTGCAGTACCCAATCTAAAGTGGAAACTATTCATCATTTGCAAATGTTTATAAATGTTTACTAATCAGTAATACCTTTATGAACAGTCATCTGAATGGCAAAAAATGTCCCGAAAGACCTGAATTACACATCTTTACTAATCATTTATTAATCATTTGTTCATATTTTTGCAGTATTCAATCTAAAGTTGAAACTATTCATCATTTATGAATGTTTATAGACGATTACTAATCATTTAGTATCTTTATGGGCATTGGACTTATGTAACAAGGTTTGTGTAAAGGGTGGTTGGTTAAGTTTAGCTAAATGCTTGCTAAAGACATAACAGATTGTACTTTTGGTGCAAAAAAGTTGTTTTGTTGCCTCAACACTCACATTAGTATACTACTCTTCAGTATATCATTAAACATGATAGCTTTTCCTTCAATTATAAATAAACAGGGTAAAACAAATAATTTTTTAAAAGAAAATACTTGTTAATTTATCAAAACAATATAATATAAACAGATTGAACTGTGTTCTCTTATAATAATCAAACTGACCCCTGTACACTTCTGACCACTTAACCAACCCTTAAACCTACCCAAACCACCAAACCTGTCCCTAACCTTATTTATTTATATTAAATAAAAAAGTACTTTTTAATAATTCACAATGTATGTATAGTGCCACAATCAATCAATAATTAAATAAAAGTTTTCAATACAAATGAGCACAAGTCAAGCTGCGATACCAAACAGGACCACAGGGAGATGCCAAAGACCACTAAATCGCCTGCCATTACTACTATATGGATCCATTCAGAATTGCTAAATCTCTGACCACCGCATAATCAGCGTTCATTATAAAACACTCTTGCTTTTAAGCCAAATACACGCTGAAAAGAATAATCTTACTGACATCTGGACGAAAGTCACTATTCTCTCCGCAATCGCTGAAGAAATCGGCCGTGTTTTCTCTGCATTAGCACTGTTTTGAACTTATTGTTTGAATTCGTTTACTGGATCCTTGGACTTTGCAGGAGTTTACCGGTTTAAAATGATGTGATCGCAAAAGCACATCTTGAAACTTTAGTTCGAATAGGATAATACAAGGTTTTGGGGTCTGATTGTGTAGGCCTATTTCTTGGATTAAAGCTCCCTGGTGTTTCGGAGAATAGACCATCAGTCCTGAGGGGAGATCACCTGCTTCTCACCAAGAGTGAGGAGGTCCAACTCTCAACTGTGACCAAATACAAGGGCTACGTCTTCTGAGTACCGGCAACATGTCAGAAGTGACAGTATGCACAAAAAAGTGCAAGTACTCTAAAGGCTAAAATATAGAAGTGCTGGTACTGCGTACCGGTGCATACCGGCCCACTTCAAGCACTGCCTCTTGGCTTATATCGAAGTCCTCTAAATTATATCCTCTGACATTTTTTCTTTACAAAATGTCATTTTGTACTTCTAATTTGTGACCTGTGTTTTGTTTTGCTCTCTCCTCTGTATTGTTCTCTTCCGTGTTCGTCAACTCTCAATAGAGCTTACTCCTACGTCCTACGTCATCAGCTGAAATGCCACTCTCTCATGAATGTGCGTACAACAGTAAGCGTAAACTAGAGATTATGGTTTTAAATATAGATATTTTTCTTCACTTCAGAAGGCCTTTATTAACCCTGTGTGGAGTACTTTTTTATGATGGATGGACATACTTTTCTGGGCTTCGAAATCTCGACCCCCATTCACTACCATTATAAAGCTTGGAAGAGCTTGGACATTTTTTCATATCCAATTGTATTTGTCTGAAAGAAGAAAGTCATATACACCTAGGATTTGGATCGGGTTAAACTGGGCTTCTCTCGAAGGTATGAAGAATGAGTTTTAAAAAATGCATGTGGCACAATCAGTCAAAATCATTAACAGATGTCTGATCTAAGATGTTTTTGGTGCTTGTTAAGGTTCCTTGACCATGTATATGTAGATAAGATGAAATTCCGTGTGGAGTTCACAGTGAATCGTCTCCCGTTAAGACTACAAAACACAGAGCAGTACACATGGCGGTCCAGCACGAGCTCAGAGATGTGCTGTTCCCTGTGGGCTCAAGGAGCTTGAACCCTGCGTCTCCACCTGCACTGAGGTCAGTAAGACCCCTATTAATATGTTATTAAAACTTCAGAATGAATATTATGTGTATTTGAGCCTAGCGTGTGTCTGTCTCTAGGCTCTTTGATCAGCAGCTTCAGAGGAACCCTGAAGAGTACAGTGCAGTATGTCACATTGTGGCCGGTACGTCCAAGCCGGCACCGTACTTGGTGTTTGGATCTCCTGGCACTGGTAAAACCGTCACGATAGTGGAGGCCATCAAACAGGTAAAACCGGTTATCGCACACAGCAGAGTAAACACAGCCTCACCACATCTTCATTAAAATGTCAGTTTGTTGCATTGTATGGTATTATGCTTGCCTGTATGAAAGATTTCACCATTCAGTGGAATATCTGTTGCATCCAGTCATTCTTTCTGTTTGTTTCTCAACATCTCGCAGGTGGAGAAGAATATACCTGGTGCCTATATCCTAGCTTGTGCTCCATTTAACAGTGCAGCTGATCAGCTGTGTGAAAATGTTGATGCACGGAAAATATACAGACTTTATGCTAGCTCACGCGATCCAAAAGATATCCTTAAAGTTCTAAAGGTTAGTGTCTGTTTAACAGTAAATAAAAGAAAGAAAGAAATGCATCCCACTGACATATACTAAGCATTTAAATATCATCCTACCTTACTCATATGTCAGGCTTTCAGGGTTAATGCAAATAAAGGGATAGTTCACCCAAAAATGAAAATCACCCTCAAGCCATCCTAGGTATATATGACTTTTTTTTTTTCAGACAAATACAATTGGAGTTATATTAAAAAATATCCTGGCTCATCTAAGCTTTATAATAGCTGTGGATGGGGGTTGAAATTTTGAAGCCCAAAAAAAGTTAATGAATCCATCATAAAAAGTACTCCACATGGCTCTGAGCGGTTAATAAAGGCCTTCTGAAGTGAAGCGATGCTTTTTGGTAAGAAAAATATCCATGTTTGACATTTTATAAACCGTAATCTCTAGCTTCTGCTAACTGTCGTACATGCATTCACGAGAGAGTGGTGTTCCAGTGGATGACATAGGATGTAGGCATAACGTAAGCTCCGGTGAGAATATGCTAGTCTCACAAGAACCAAGTTTTATAAATCATGGAGTAATTTTCATTTTTGGGTAAACTATCCCTTTAAGTAAGATTTAAGTGACAAATGCCTAATGGTGTTACTTTATGTACGTATGCTTATAGTTTTTATTTTGATTGTTCATGTTGGGTGTGTGTTTTTAGAATATCAGTAAGCTGGAGGGAGACATGATTGTTTTCCCATGTAAAGAAGATCTAATGTGCTACAAGATCCTGGTCAGCACTCTGGTCACCTCTGGCAGGTGAAGGGCATTATCTTATCTAAACACAGTGAACTCTCTCTCGCTGTCTCTCTTTATCAGACACATAACACATGATTTATAGCAGTCTGTAAATACTGTGTGCATGCAGGCAGGTCACTGGTGGTTTTCCTGTGGATCAGTTTTCTCATGTTTGTGGATGAGGCAGGACATGCTATTGAGTCAGAGACCATCATCAGCGTGGCAGGTGTGTTTGTCTCATATGTACTGTACTGTAGTAAAAGTACTAAAGTATGATAGAAGTGAGATCCATAGACGGTATTATTGCATTGTCTCATTGTGTGCATGTAGGTCTGCTGAATGCAGAGACTGGACAGCTTGTTTTGGCTGGAGATCCCAAGCAGCTGGGGCCAATCCTGAGATCTCCTCTTTTTCCTGTAGATGTCTCTTTGCTGGAGAGGCTGATGACACAGAATGATCTTTATAAGAAAGATGACATGGAGTTTGACAAATGCTACATCACCAAACTTGAAGCTACAAGACGCTGCTCCTGACACTTTATTCCCAATTATGTTTTCTCTCAGTTTGGTGGACTTGATTTTCTTCTCATATGTAACTATAAAATTGATAAACTACTGGCTATATTATCTGCTTTCCATAGGCAGGTTTTCTTGGCTTGGTCGCTAATATTCAAGCACAACTTTTCACCCCACAGATTTTTTATTTGGAATAACTGTAATGTTTTATACAAGAATAAATCCATATTTTTTCAGAGTTGGTTTGATAAAAACATACTGTTGATCAGTCAGTTAATGAACTCTCAAGGGTTGTTATTTTCATATAAAGAATTTTTAGATCACTTTCAATTTCCTGTCTCTCCAAAAGAATTTTCCATAGTTATGGGGTCTATCCCATCTGCGGTTGTTGCTTTACTGAGAGGTACCCATCCTTTGTCACCGGTTTTTCCTAATTTGCTTGATACTTTTGTTGGTAGATTATGTTTTGCATTTCCATGCAAAAATAATAATAGGATAGTTCGTTCATTATTTCAGCAGAATATTATTACTCTGCCAGCTGTGATTGCTTATTGGAATAATGCAGTGGGTAACATCTGCTGGAAAAAAGTGTGGATGCTTCCTCATACTTATTTACTAACTAACAAAGTAAAGGAGATTTCCTACAAAATAATTCATAAATTCTATCCTGCAAAGCATTACATGAAAAAATTCAAAAGTGATATTTCCTCCAGTTGCTCTTTTTGTGATGACTCTGTTGAAACTGTTGTTAATCTCTTTTGGAACTGTCTATTTACAAAGAAATTTTGGCAAGATGTTTTAAGTTTCATTAGGAGTAACATTTATAATGAATGTATTCTGTTTTGGAAGGACGTAGTATTGGGTTTTATTGAGTATGAACAATCTAAAAGGAAACCGTTTTATGTAGTGAATCTGATTTTGCTTCTTGCAAAATTTCACATCCACAAATGCAGATATTCAAACTCTAGACCTCTCTTCTTTGTTTCTATAAAAGATTTTGAGCAATACCTTTCATTAATCCAGTTGTCTAAGAACAAAAAAAGCCTTACAAACTTTATCTATCTGTAACTCTTTTCCTATCTTTAATGACATGTAAATCTCAATTTTATTCTTTCAGTTTGTAATGTATTAACAACCCCCTTTTCCTTTTTTTCCCTGTTCTTTTTTTTTGTGTTTCTACTTTATTTTTTTTGTTATTATTGTTTATCATTTTTATGTTAATGGTTGTGTTGTTCTATGTGTACTATTCTTGATTTTTGAGCATTAGTAATAAAAAAACAAAAACAAAAAACAAAAACAAACTCACTGTCGGACAGGAAAGAGACGCAGCTTGGATAAGCGGCGGCTTTTCCCGGTTCAGATATCAGGGCTTTTATTGGTCCGTTTACGGTAGGATATCTTTATTGGTTACTGAAGTGCCGTCAAAGGGTTGAATATCAATTCAAATTGTGGGCGTACTCAGTAACGAACCATGATTTAAAAGTAACGAAGTAGATTATTTTGCTTAAATTGTACTTAAGTACAAGTAAAAGTACAGCTTTAAAAATATACTCAAAAAAGTACAAGTACCCGAAAAAACTCCTCAAAATCAATGAGAGTAGATTGTCAAACAATTTATTTTTTTATTTTTTTATTATGCAATAGAAGAACAGCAAATACAATTACAAAGACAAGTAAGAACAAAAGACAATAAGGGTTACAAACAATACTCCAAAGCATACTATGTTAGCTTATAAGACTTACACCATGAAAGAGTCTTACATGCAATAGAATTATTAGAGTTTCTTAAAGAGTTTACATACACATCAAAACCTTTCCTGAAAATAAAAAGGTAGGGAGTTTTCTTTGAAAATTTACACTTATGAATGTAAAAGTTAGCAAGATATAGCAATAGATTAATAATAAATTTACAGTGAGAAGGGTCTAACTTCAAAGAGTAACCAAAAAACACAATTTTTGGGGTTATACAACAGTTTGGATATAAATATTTGTTAACAAAATTGGAAAAGTCAACCCAGAACACTTTAGAATAAGCACAGTCCCAAAACAAATGATTGATTGTTTCTTCAGACTGAAGGCAAAAGGAGCAATTGGGGGAAATACTAAATTTAGCAAGTTTATAATTTACCGGATAACAATTATGGATAATTTTGATAGAGACTTCAACAACTTTATTAGATAAGAATTTTTGTCGAAGAAGCCAAAACTCTTCCCATTCTATATCACTAAATATGTTATTCCAAAAACTCACACAAGCAGGTAAAGAAATCTGAGATCTATTAATAATTGAACGAAT